AAACTATATTTTTTTACCATAGACCTTCCCTTTGAATTAATAAGGTCTTCTTTGTAAACAATAATTTCTTTTTTTAAAAATATATTTTTATTGATTATTTTAGAGAGTGGAAGGGAGAGGGAGAGAGAGATAGAAACATCGATGATGAGAGAGTCACTGATGATCTGCCTCTTGCATTTCCCATGCTGGGGACCAAGCCCCCAACCCGGGCATGTGCCCTGACTGAGGATTGAACTGAGATCTCCTGGAACATAGGTCAGTGCTCAACAGCTGAGACATGCCGGCTGGGCAAGAATGTCTTATATTTATCATTTCAGCAATGAATATATTACTTCTGGAGCTATTTTAACTAAATTTCCTTTTTTCTTTTAACCAGTCAATATATGTGTTATTTATTGTTTTCTATATGTCAGAAACTGAAAAAGGTATTGAGGTATATTGGGAATCAGATTAAACCTTGACATTTCTGTAATATTTTAAAAATTAAACATATGGGTTCATTTCAGCACAATGAGTTTTAAAATATGCAATTACTTATTCATAGACTAGGAACCAAATATGCATATATTAAAATATGCACTCATTTCAACATTATTTGCAATAATGTAGTTATTTATAATTAAATAAAGACTTTTGTCTGTTTTAAATGCTAAAAGTGTAATAGATTTTTCTTTTAGTTAAAAACAAAACTAAAAGATTAAATAATTATTTGTAAATGTTAATTTTCTAATAATACTTCTTTTCCCTGTTCAGGTGGTTAATGGAACTGGTGAGAAAGCGTGTAAGCGCTGTTACATAAGATCGGTTTAATCGAACACTCATTTCTAGTAAGCTCTCAAATCGTGTGCTTCCTCCCTCCCTTTCTCCAGAAAACCCACCATGACAGAGGTGTTAGAATAAGTAATGTGTGCTTTGTGTTTCCGAAAGGAAGAGACAAAGAACCGAAGAGAAAGGGAGACTGTGAGAGAAGACAAGCACTTTTTGAGTTTAATGTGCGTGAAATTGTATGCCTGGGAAGACAGACAAATTGTCAGCTGGCTACAAAGCGAAGATGCCTTGCTTGGAAATACTCTATGTAGGTGGTTAGCTGCTTCATTGTTTTCTCCCTAACTCGAGTCATCCCTGCAAACTGGCTAATGAAGGAGGCTCTGCTTGAAGACGTCACAATTTCACTCCCGAGTCAGGCCAGGAGGGCTGGGGTGGGTGAGCAGGGAGATGGGAACAAAGAGGTGACGTTGGTAAGCGGAGCTTTAACCTCAGGAATATCTGGGTCAGCTCCTGGGCAGAAAGTACCGCTAAGGACAAAAGTCAAACCTCAAAGAAAACGCAAAGGCTAAGAGAGTCACACTGGAAGTAAGGTGTGACAGGAACAGAGAAGAGCATTGATTCATCTGTCCCAAATTTGGTCACAAACAGGGTATCTGTGAACCCAAACAAGAAAGCAGAGACAGAAGGAAAACGTTAAGATAGAAAAGACTGAGTAGGAGACAGAGAAGGCAACCTCACAAGATTGTTTACAATCACTAATTTTTCTTATTCTCTTTCCTATCAGTATCTTTTAAAAGAGTCATACTGAAAAATTAGTAAGTTACATAATGTTGAATCACTGGGGTGTGCATCTGAAACTAACATAATATTGTATTGTGAACTGTAATGGAAAAATAAAAAATGATTTCAAAAAAAACGAAAGTCATACCATTTGTTTGATACAGTCTAAGGTTCTTCTGAAACTGTCTTTGTTAAACTATGTACCTATTCACTGACTTAAAAATCTGTGCAAAAATTATCGCAAGTTTACTTTCGGTATTTTCAACTTTATTTCTTTTGTGTAATAAAAAGAAATTGTTGAATTTGTGTCTTTACTACCTCTGATATACTTAAATATCACTAATATCGATGTTTTCCTACATATTTTTTGTTTACTTCCATTTTTCTATGAAAAAAGTATCACCTTAAAAATCGGTGTTACCATAGAAACACACGCAAAGAATATGTATAAGGAAAATATCAATATTTTCCCACACATAATTATTAAGAAAACATTCATAAATACTAAATATATCACTATATACACTGAAGTTTGTTGTCTTAAACTCAAAATGAAACTGGATATTACTGAATTGCATAAGAAATAGAATTTAACATTGTTTATTCAGTTGTTTAATTAGAAATTTTTCAAACATTAATAAACTTTAATTCTGAAGTTTATATTCTAAATAATACAATAAGGATATTTTAACAAGCATATTAAGTACAAGGCTATTTCTCTTATAATACAGGTAATTTAAACAAGTTCTCAACTTACTACTTTGCTAAGAGCCTTATTCTAAACAGTGGGTAGCATTTTTACAGAACAAACTAGTTTATGTCGTAAAGCTTCATTCAGTGTTTGGGTAAAACAGAAGTTTGAAGTGATTCACCTGCTTTCAGAAAGACATACAAACCTCTTAAAAGCAAAGAGCAAAAGAACTAAGAAAAAGGGTCTGGACCTTTGAAGCACTTGCTTTCACCATGTGCCATTACTGTGCTGACAAAAATTGTGAGTTAAATATTGAAGGAGATTTAATAACTCATGAAAATATAAAGTACAAAAATCTATGAGGAGGGCTCGAGCTAGGTCCTTAAGAACAGATGTTAAGGACGACTCAAATCTTGGCTCTGCCCTTTTCTAGCTGTTCTACATTTTCCAGGAGATACCTACTTATCCAATGGAGCCTCAGTTTTCTCTCTGGTCAAATGGTGATACTCATACCTAACACAGTGAGGATATTGTAAGAATTAAATAGAATACTGTATGTAAACATTTAACAATGTTGTAAATCACATGTAGTAAGTGTCAATAAATGATAGCTATTATAAATAAGTGAATCTTTTCAGCAATGGAAAAGTCTATTTGCTTTATGCTGAAGGCGAGAAGAAGAACTTAGTATCTGCCTGAAATCATACCAATCGGGGGGTGAGATCCAGGACATTTTGACAGCTGACCTAGACTAAAGGACCCAGCTGTGTGTTATGCAACCAGGCCATGTTCTAAACCCAGGCTTCCTGATCTCTGGCAATCTTTCTACTAAACCAACCTACATTTTAAATGAGTCCCTATAGTTTATTTGAACGGTTTATACTTTATTTTGGATTATTTATTTAATCAAGTTAAATTTACTAAAGGAATTACCAGTTATACTTTTAACTAAAACATACTAAAGATAATTTAAACAAATGCAATCATGCTACACCATATAAGTTAAACTGGTGTGTAAACTTCCAAGTGGTTAAAAAAAAAATTAGATAAATATTTTAATATAATAGGAACAGACTTCTAAGGCAATCAATAAATATTCAGGATTACCAGAAACCTGCAACTGTAAGATATTCAGGTATCAAATTGCCCATCTCTGGAAGTTTATAAGAAAGAAAGGAAATCTGTGGTAAATCATAATCTTTTTATGCAAATATGAGCAGTTCTTAATTCTACTGAAATAACTTAGGTAGATGTTTATTTGGAATAAGTCTGGCAGAAGACTTTGGAGTAGCTATCCACAAAGAAATTCTGAAGAAACACAGAAAATTGAAGAGACAGCTGTAAAATTCTTTAACTTTAAAAAATTGTGAGGAAAAAAACTGTAATTTGACATTCCTACTTCAGCTTGTTTCAAAATATAATTGTAAGTTTCCTAAGACTGTCTTTAAAAATGAGGTATACCTATATGTACACTTTAGAAATGAGGTGTATATTTTTACAAAATGCCTTTGGAAACAGCTATTCTGCATTTTTCACAAAGATCTCATCATGCAATCCAAATATAACTGGCACAGTTCCATTTTCTTTAAACGATTCCTAATGAAAACCAAACGGCCAGGACCCTTCACATTCTATAGAAGGGTCCCTAGAACAATGGAAGAAGCATAATCTCAACTGGTATTTCAATCAAACCTACACACTTACGCTCTTTTAAAACAAACACAAATTAGCTTCAGAAAATTTCACTATACTCTCCCTGATCCAATGCACCATAAATAAGCAAAAATAAAACTTTCCCGTGATTGCTTTCATTATTATTTCAAAATTTCGGTTCATTTCTTGCATGTCAAATGGCTCCCGTACAGCTTCCTAAATAAGCAGCAATGAGGGAGCCCCCAGCTCTCTCTGGGCTCAGGCGTCTGCGGATCGTCAAAGGCAGCTGGCGCCGGGCCGCTCGTGATCTCAGGTGCGCTGTGCCTCTGGGTAGCTGACTGCCTAACGGGGGAGCACACGGTCCCCGGGCGAGCCTCGCCGAGGAACCTCATGCATAATGAACCGGAGAGCTCAAAAATATTTCTGTTTGAGATGGAGATACTTCCCTTGGGTAAAAAAGTCAGAACATGCTTCACTTTTGATTGTCTGATTCTTCATTGCTCCTGAAGAGGAACTAAGTTGTTGGTATAAAGCACGTCTGACATCGAGCTGCAAAGACCTACTTCTTGTGGCTGTAAAAGATACATTCTGAAGAGAGCTTTGGTTCATGTAATCCTTGTATTTTCCTTTCAGTCTGCTCCCTCTTGATGAACATATTTTTATTCCTGAAATACTGACAGCATGGGACGCTGAGATATCATTGCTTCTATCAGATTTGAAATTTATCAATTTTTATGCCACTATATACACAGAGGAGGGTATTATTCACTTTCACTGCCTTTTACTTGGACCTGGAGGAAGGCAGTATTGGCAGAATACTTTTCAATCTTTTTCTAAATGTTTCATAGTCTTACATAAAGAGTTTTAGAACAGATATTGATGCACAGAAATGTAGAGTCAAAATTAAAAGCTAAAGGATCATGTAACCAACATCTAATTCTTCCAATGGTGGAAAGGGTTTATGATCCTGAAAAATTAAAATTCCCTAGTTTTAAAAATATATAATTTATGTAATTATTTTTGTTTTTATACAGAATAATTTGTTAATACATGCAAAACAAAACTTTTATCTTTTCTTTTTAGAAGAAAATGATAGAAATATACATACTGTAAGGAACACATTCGTACTGCACTTCAAGGTACTTATAGGTCCCCGGGCATGGGTCTGGAAAGACATCAGGACCTGCCACGACTGCGCACTGGGTTCTGTTATTGCACCTGAAGTTAAAAGAAAAGAAGAAATAATATATAATGCTAAATCATTATTAACATCAATACTAACTTTATTTTGGTTCCTGTTACACATATTTAAATGAGTTGTTTTTAGCAATTTAAGATTTTAGACTCATTAAAATCTTATACTTTAAAATAAACTAGACATAAAAATCAATTAAATCAGTTTACTCATATTAACTCGTTTAATATTTGATTGAACATAGCATGATTTTGAGTTAGAAGTTAAATACTGCTTAAGCAAAACTCACTGGTCCATAGGATATTGCCAATGTGAAGACAGGTAAGGAGAATTATTCTGTAGGAAAGATTCACTTCCATTATAAAACCAAATTTAGAAAATGTTACCACAGGCTTCTATTAGACAGTTGTAAAATAAATTTACTGATTATCATGATACTTATTATCTTTTAAAATATATCTTTATTGATTTCAGAGACAAGAAGGGAGAGGGAGAGAGAGTTGAAACATCAATGATGAAAGAGTCATTGATCGGCTGCCTCCTGCAGGCCCCCCACCGGGGATCGAGCCCGCACCCTGGGCATGTGACCTAACAGGGAATCAAACCGTGATCTCCTGGATCCTAGATCAATGCTCAACCGCTGAGCTACGCCAGGTGGGCATCATGACAATTATTTTAAAGGCAATGAAAACATGGTGTTGAAAAGCTTTTAACCAAACCTTTAAAACATTAGTAAAAAGTTAATATTTGAATATTAAAATATATCTAAAAATTAATTTATAAAAATTAATATAATAATCCCATAAGTAAAACCATTTTTAAGAATTTATTCTCCACAACCTCTCCAACATTGTTATTACCTGTCTTGTTGACAACAGCCACTCTAACAGGTGTGAGGTGGTATCTCTTTGAGTTTTGATTTACATTTCCCTAATAATTACAGAAGCGGAGAAAAGGGAACCCTACTACACTGCTGGTGGGCATGCGGACTGGTGCAGCCACTATGGAAAACAGTATGGAGGTTCCTCAAAAGATTAAAAATAGAGTCACCATATGACCCAGTAACCCTTCTTCTGGGAATCTACCTGAAAAATGTGAAAACATTTATTCACAAAGATACATGCACCCCTATGTTCACTGCAGCATTATTCAGTGGCCAAGACACGGAGACAATCAAAGTGCCCTGCGATAGAGGACTGGACAGAGAGGATGTGGGACATGTACTCAGTGGACACTGCTCAGCCACGAGAAAAGATGAAACACTGCCATTTGCGACAACATGGATGGGCCCTGAGAATATTATGAAAAGTCAAATTAGTAAGGAAAAGACAAGAACCATACAATTTCACTCCTATGTTGGACATGAAACTGAAAGCAACGAATTCAAAACACACAAGAAAAACACACAAAAACTCAGACCCAGACAACAGCATGGTGGTTACCGGGGGGGGAGCAAAGGGTGAAGGCGGCAGGTACACGGTGCAGGAAAGAGCTGACTGCGCGCGCGAGCACATAATGCAGGGCACGGGCGATGCGTCAGAGAAGGGTACACTTGAAACCTATGCGATTTATTAACCAATGCCACCCCGATAAATTTAGCAAAAATAGGAAAAAAAGAATCCATTCTTATTTTCCTGTGTTCAGATGGATAACGACGCTTACCTTACAGGTCGCTGTTCACAAATGCCAGTATCCTATAACTTAAAATAACTTTATATCTCCAGAGAAAATGATGAAACATTACTATTGAAACAAATACAAGCTGGACATCTTTTCTGGCAATAGAGCTAAACAGAACTGGGCAAACCTGACTTAATCCTGGGTAAATACATGTCATAAACTTGACTCCTACTCTGAAAAAGACATTTCAGAGTGCCCTTATTAAGGTAAATTTTACTATACTTTCTATATTCAAAAACTTATCGATTAGTAGACATTTCTGTGGATAAATAATGATTCTTCTCTCCCAAAATATTGGCACTAAGAGTACAGCGTGAGACACTCTAGTTAGCTTCCAGTTATGTTCTTGTTTACTGATCTTAGAAATATTATACCTCAGGGCTAGATTTTTGTGTTACTTTCTTAAAGAGATGCTTCATTCTCTGAAGTAACCTATATCCGATTCCTCGCTAGCATACTGCCAGAGTAGGGAGCATTTCGGGCAGAACTCATTTTGATTTAGAGTAAAATGCTTTGTGTTTACTTGAGGCTACTATTTGTCAGGCTTAATGAGGATTTTATTTAGTCTCTAAATTAAAATTGATTCTTTAGTGAATGTCTTAAACTTAAAAATATATTCTGTGTTATCAGTGAAAGATTAATAAAAGCTAATATTCCATACTTACCAGGCAATTTTGCATTACAGTTAATCCTTAGGGCCAACGTGTTCTAAAGCTCTCTTGTGTAGGTCTAATGTCTGAGGATGACTATCAGACAACTGTATAATAAATAACGTGAATGTACATGTGGTTGTCTTCACACATGTGCCGCAAAGAGGTAGCCTGACATTTTGGTGTATTCAAATGTTTTAAGAAATAGCAGCACATCCCTATTACATAGAAAACACGTTTGAAGAAGCTGTTTGAAGCTAAAAGACATGTTTTTTTGCAGTGAAAGCAATATAATTTTCATATCACACCTTAAAATAGAAATGCGTAAATCTGAGGACTTTCTACATTGCGTAGCTATATAAACTCAGTTATTTCTATAATTATTATAGAAAATTAGCTATTATCAGGAATACATTTGAAGTAGAAATAACAACAAAAAAAGAACTATACACAATAAAATTTGATGATGTGTGAATATTCTGTAAATATAATATCATTGCTGATTTCCAGTTTTTGGCTTACTACTGTTTTACTTCTTATTATCAACCTTTTTTTTCTAATTACAACAGATCTAATAATAAAATTCATTTAGAAGCTGTGTTCATTCTTGTAATTTTCAGATACAGACGTTTAATTACAAATCTTTTATTATTCAAACAATCAATGTTTAATATCAACAAACCAGATTAGTATTCATTTATGAGTAGGACAAAAAGGTTAAAATTTACAATTATGGAAGTGTTTATTTCACAGAAAGATGTCTTGAAACAAGAAGAATTTCAAGTGATTATATTTGTATAGGCTGGATTAAAAAATATATAGGGCCTGGGCCGGTGTGGCTCAGCAGTTGAGCATCAACCTATGATCTAGGACATCTCCGTTTGATTCCGGGTCAGGGCACGTGCCTGGGTTGTGGGCTTGATCTCCAGTAGGGGGCATGCAGGAGGCAGCAGATCAATGACTCTCTCTCATTAATGATATTTCTCTCTCTCCCTCTCTCTTCCTCTTTCTGAAATCAATAAAGACATAATTAAAAACATATATATGTAATATAGGCAATATATGCATCCATTCATCCATCTATCGAATTATCTAAATATGTGCTTCTACCAATTTACATATTATTATAAGTTTTTAAAATACTAATGACTTATGTATATGTAAGAAAAATGAAACAAGCAACCATTTGTTATAAGTGAGACACTGTTGTGAGTCCCAAATATTTTTATGTTAACCAGTGAGTCAAGAGAGACTAATTGATGAGCTGGTGTACAGGAAGAGGCACATAAACCAAAACATGCCATACCGATGATATATTGCAGTCACTGCCATTGCGGCTTCATAGAAAACAAAAATGCTTTAGAACATTCACTTTTCAAAGTAATTTAGTACTCTATTATTTCTGTATCAAATACTTTTTTATAAATTAGGATTCTGGAAAACCAAAGGAGAAAGACAGTCTCTGGAATATCATTTTTGTATAAGATACATTATAAGTTGACTATTTAAAGGCTAGCTACATTTTTAAAACAGGAGTTTGAAGGTTTGTTCTTTCTTTGTGGTTTCAGTTATTGTAAGAATAAAATTATCTTTAATATCAGATTAAAGATTATTGAACAATTTGCATCAGGAAGCATACTTTCACAGTGATATCAAAATTGTCAAAAGTAAATTCATTACAAAATAATATAGATGAAAAAAGTAAAAAAAAAATATATGTTCTCATGTGTTTTAAACTCATATTTTCATTATTTACTTTTAATATAAATATAAATTAAAGGTGATTATCAATACCTTTGATATTAAAGATATTTTATCAACCCACAATATAGGATGAGAAAAGACTGCAGTGATATGGTCAAATGCATCCTAATCTACTAATAGCCACAGAAAAAGAAATCTTATAATATTTTTTTCATTTTCATCTGAGGATATGTTTATTGATTTTGAAAGAAAGGGAGGACCGGAGAGAGAGAGAGAGAGAGAGAGAGAGAATGAATCTGGATGAGAGAAACATCAATCGGTTGCCTCCCGTATGCGCCCCAACCAGGTATCTGAACTCACAAGCTAGGCAAGGACACTGACTGGGAGTCAAACCCACCACCTTTCTGGTGTATAGGACAACACTCCAACCAACTGAGCAACCCGGCCAAGGTAAAGGTCATCATCTTATAGAAGTATTAAGGCTTATTTACATTGATAAAAGTTTCAACATTTTTTCATCAGAAATATTATGCAATAAAAATTTTTCTATCCCCAAAACTGACAATTTGAGACTAAAGTATGAGCAGGAGACACTAACAAATGCAAGATAGAATTCTGAAAGAAATCTCTTGGAGCTTCAGTTTTCACATACATTACATGCAGGCCACTTATTTTACTACCTTCCCAAGTTGATTTGCTTATAAAAATGCATTAGAAAAAATTATAAAGTATCAATAAATACCTAACATAGATATGTGTGTGTGTGTGTGTGTGTATCTTGCAGTTATCATCATTTTATCATTATTAACATTAGTCATCTGTTTCATGATGGGTCAAGAACACTTCATTCCACATAGACTGAGTCTTTTAAGAGAAACTTATAATACAGAAGTGACAGACAGAACAGCACATGCATTCTTTTGCGAGTAGAAACAGGAAAAACAGATTCACATTAAAAACAAACTGTAAGCCAAGTAGTTAGCTGGATG